GTAGCGAAGCTATTGAAGAATGGGTCAGTAAGGGAGGTAGCCTACCTAGACTAGTTGTCCAACATAGTGATGGTTACAAAGACTAATGGGAAGTAGCGCCTCTATGTGGACTTCATAGAGCTCAATAAAGCTTGTTCCAAAGATAGCTATCCTCTCCCACGCATTGATTCTCCTCATTAACACCCCCACAAGACACGAGCTCCTAAGTTTTTTCTACTTCAAGTATAACCAGATCAGTATGTTCCCTCTAAACTAGAAGAAAACTTTATTCATCACCCCAAAAGGCACCTATTGCTACAGGGTGATGCCTTTCAGACTCAGGAACAGTGAAGCCACATATCAGCACCTCATGAACAAGATGTTCGAAGCACAGATCGAGAAGACTATGGAAGTGTACATAGACGATATGTTGGTGAAGAGTATGGCTGTGGCAAACCATGTGACATACCTCCAAGAAACCTTTGATGTGTTGAGAGCCTATATGATGATGTTGAATCCTAAAAAAATGCGTCTTTGGCGTAAGTTTAGGAAAATTCTTAGGCTTCATGGTCAACAAAAAGGGCATTGAAGCCAACCCAGATAAGATTAGAGCCGTCTTGGAGATGAAGTCCCTAGCTCAGTAAAGGAGGTCCAGTGCCTCAACAAGAGGATAGCAGTCCTGAACAAGTTTGTCTCAAAATCAGCAGATAAGTGTCTCCCTTTCTTTAAAATCCTCCATAGGTTTTTTTTAGTGGGGACCAGATGCAGAGGAGGCCTTCCATAAGCTCAAGGTCTACCCCATTACACCGCATTTGTTCTCCCATGCTGTACTGTGAGAGACCCTATATTTCTACCTCTCCCGTGCACTTGTTCCTTGTCTGGGAGGATGGAGGCATATAGAAGCGTGTGTACTATGTAAGCAGGACATATCGAGGGGCAGAGGTAAGGTACTCGGAGCTTGAAAAGTTAGTTCTTGCACTTATCACCGCCGCTAGACGTCTACGCCACTACTTTCAGAGCCACACTATCATGGTTGTTACAAATTAACCACTCAAAAGAATTCTGGGAAAAGCTCAATGTGTTTAGCCTACTACTCAAGTGGGCCGTCTAGTTAAGTGAGTTCGACGTGCGGCACCAGCCGAGGGCGACCATCAAAGCACAAGCACTTGCAAACTTTGCGGTTGAGTCTACGCCGCCACAGGAGTCCCGAGATTCTACCTTGCCACAGGAGTCTTAGGAGCATACCCCACAACAGAAATCCAGGGAGGAAGTATCAGGCGCCCATGCACCTGCCTGCTTAATACATACTACCTTTACCCACCATGAGGACCTAACGCCTTACTTAATACATACTACCTTTAGCCCAAAACACTACCTCGAGAGGACCTAATGCCTTAGAGACCGTTCCACAAGCCCCGAGAGACCACACTCCGAGACTAGAGGCATCCAAATCCCTTATGCCTACTCCATCTTTACCCTCCATGCCATCGGTACCGTCTACTGTACCAAGTTGGAAACTCTACGTGGATGGGTCCTTTACCAGTGAGGGCGGAGGCGTGGGACTAGTGCTAATTAGCCCCTATGGTACTCTACTAAAGTACGTGGTCTCCCTCTACTTTGCTATATCAAACAACCAAGTTAAATATGAGGCCTTCATATCAGGGGTTGAAGCTCAAATTAGAGATGGAGGCCCTCTGCTTGACCGTATACGGTGACTCCCAGTTGATAGTCAACCAAGTAAAGGGAAACTTTGAAGTAAAGGAGGAAAGGATGCAAGAGTACTTGTCAGTAGCCTAGGCTTTGTTAAAAAGTTTTACCTATTTCCAAATCCACAATCTGCCCCAAGAGGAGAACACCATGGCAGACGCCCTCACCAAATTTGCATCTACCAACATAATCATAGGCCCGAAACTGACAGGCCACCAGTTTCATCCAAGTACCTTCAAGACAGAGGAGGACGATGTTAATTGTACATCCTCAAAAGCCAACTAGATGACACCCATCTGAGCCTAACTAAAGGAAGGCGCTCTCCTAGACAACCCAGTGAAAGCCAAAAAGTTCAAAACGATGGGTAGACAAACTCCCGGGAGTGTTGTGAGCATACCAGACGACACCAAGGAGCCCAACGGGCGAGACCCCTTTTTTCCTAGCCTACAGGACAAAGACGATCATACTCGTTAAGATTGAGGTACACTCCCTTAGGGTTCAGCACCATAACCCTACCAGTAATGAAAAAGGTCTCTGCATCAACCTCAACTTGGTAGAGAAAGAGAGTGAGATAGTCATGCTCAGGAATGAAGAATACAAGCGTTGCAAGACTAAGTACTACAACTCGATGGTGAAGCCTCGCTCCTTCTTGCCTAGGGACCTAGTCCTCAAAAAGGTCATCCTGTCTACCAAAGACTCTTAGGAAGGAAAACAAGGACCTAACTAAGAAAGGCCCTACATAGTTACAGAAGTTGTAAAATTGAGCACCCACAAAATTCAGAATTTCGAAGAAAAAGTTCTGACCCATCCATGGAATGTAGAGCACCTAAAGAAATATTACCAGTACTTGGGGGCAAAGAAGTGATTGTATAAGTCAGTAGTCATTATTTAGATTATCTAATTTTGTTTTGGTCAATTTTTCTTAATATTTACTTCGGATTATGAAAAAAAATTTTGCAAAATTTTTTCAAAAGTTGTATCTCATTAAAGTTCATAAAACATTTACAAAAGATAGAACATGACCTAGCAACAAAAATATAAATATGAAGATACCATGCTTCTGATGTCACTCACTGCCTCCACTCCCATCATCGTTCGCCTCCTCATCATTAGACTTGGAAGCCTTGTAAGGAACGAAGCCAAAAAAATCATAAGCGAGAAAAGTTGTTGAGGCCTTCCCCTTGAGCTCCTTGTAGCCATCAACAAAAGCGCCTGCCATGTCCTTCTCAATAGAATCTCTCTTATTCTCCATCTCCATGCATGGAGTAAGCCTCTGCCCTAGCACCTCTCTCAAGAGCTGCACGAAGGTCAGCCTCTGCTATAACAGCCTTCTCACAGGATGCTTGTACCTATTTCTCTGCTGTTGTATAGGCAGCCTCTTTGTCAGCCTCTAGTTGGGCGGCCCTTTCACGGGACGCCTGAAGCTCGGTCTCAAGTATGGAAACTCTCTCGTATGCTAGCCTCAACTACTCCTCAACATCCTCTCACGCCTACCTCTCGAGCCGTAGTTGCTCCTCAACAACCCTCCGTGCATGGCTCTCCACTGTCTGACCATCGAGTGCCTCTCTAAGCTTCATCGTGCTTGAAAACAAGCAAGGAAAGGCATCAGTCACCTACAGGTATCTAAAAGCCAGAACATGAAAGAAGGAAGCTAGGTACGAGATTGGAGATGAATAAAGGGCATACCAATGCAAAGCCCTCTGTCACAATGTTGATGATGCCCCCCGGACCTCAATAACCAACCTCTTGGATCTCTGTGGTGGTCACAAACCCCCATAGTTGCTCCTTGGCTAGATTCACATTCTGCAGCATGGAAACTGAACCACTGCTAGAAATAGAGCAGCCAGGTAGAGCCCCTATCCTCATACGAGACTGCACTGAAGCCTCGATCCCGACAACCATATTGAGATGAATTCTACAAGGCGATAGTACTACAATAGTAGAAGGAATGGGGGCATCATCAAGTCCTACCTCCCGAGGACTATCTTGCCTGGTAGATCTTAGTCATGACAGATAAGGGCCATCAGACCTCACCCTCTTAGAAGAAGGAGGGGAAGACGCCACTCTAGAAGCATAGATAGCCTCCACTATCACCCTATCAATAGAAGTACCTGAAAACTTAGTGTGAGACATAAACTTACAATGTTGTAACCATCAAGAGTCATTGGAAGGATCAAATACCTTTCCTCTTCAGCCAATAAGAAACCTTGGGATAACCTGACACAGACATAATCTCTGAAAACTCCTTGAAAGAATGGTCATGAACTATCTAGAGCCTACTCTTCTGCTCCGCAGATAATGTGGGCAAAACTACATAGAAGCCAATTAGACTGTGAGAATAGATATGTAACAAGTGGAAGTAAAGACAAAAGTGGAATCCTTACCTAGCTTGGTCCTCAGGACGGTGTCCCATCTCGAATGCACCAGGTTATGATCTCCCTCGGTGGCCCACTCGCCTCAAAAAAAGAAAAACTTAGACTTCCAGCTATGACAGTTCGAAGGAAGCCCGATAATGAATTTGTCCGACCTCGAGGCAAAACGACACCATCCTTGATGAGGAAAGGGGTTATCCAAAAGCACATGCGTGGCCAAGAACTCCTCGAATGGGGGACGGACATCAGCACTGTTAAACAGCCACTATAATGAACAGAATGACAATATCACCCTCCACTCGTTGGGAGCCAGTGAACCTACAACAGGTGCCCTAGAATCCGACATATAGGATCGGGTATCGAAAACCTGAAACCCACCTCCAGGACATCCTCATAGAGAACAATCTCATCTGAAGTGTCACAATATGCTAGCTCGTCCTCCTCTACTCGACAACACAGGACAGCAGGAGGGATGCAGTACGAAGACACAATACGGGCGATATCATTATCATAGTTAATGGAGCTAAATATGGAGGTCACATTTGAGCCATTATCTCCAGTAGTCCCCTTGCCTTGCTCAATGATGTCTCAAGTAGCCTCCCCCATAATGCGCTTGTTAGAGTAAGTACTTGGCAACAAACAGAACCAAGACGGAGTCAAATTCAATGTTAAGGCAATAAGTTTCAACCCAATAAGGATTCCCTAGCAATTCGAGATGTATCCAGCTACGTCCACCTGCCCGATCAAGTAGTAGGTGCTCGGGGGAGTGCCCCCAAAACCTAAATGATTTTCTAAATCGCGTACTAAGGCTATGTCATAAAAATTGTAAATAAAAGTTCAAAAGAACACATGCTCTCTCCTTAGTTTTGGCGCCGCCAAGCATGCCTAGGGCGTCACCTCTCCTTGCGCCCCGCATGCTCGTGTCGCCCAGCCCAACATTTCCTACATCTCCACCATCATGACCACCGACGTCGCCTGACCCACTCCCACTGGTCTTGGGCCCGTCGCCGCCTCAAGCCAAGAGGGCATCGCCTTGCGCCTAGATAGTGCTGCCTCCAGTGCCTTGGGTGCCTCCCACATCTCCTTTGCCCCTGTGGGCATCGCCTAGTGGCCGACTAACGCCACCCAACAGCTGACTAGTGTCGTTAGGCAACTAGCTTGCTCCACCCAGCTGCCCACTGGTGCCGCCTAGAGACAAGATTACCTCAATGCCCTGAACGCCTCCTCTTTCTCTTATGATGCCCATGCTCAAGGCGCCGTCAGGATTAACCCTCATCTTGACTAGACCAGCCTCGACATCGCCAGTGGTACGACTCCTTCCTCCATCTGATGTCACGTCAAAGCCGTCCGCAAAGCTAGCGTCACTCATAAAGTTGGCGCCGCCCACTACCTGGGCCGATGCACCGCTAGCCATTAAAGACACCCCAACGTCATTCTCCACTCAGGCGAGGCCCCTACTCACTGTTCCTCTGAGTTTAACGCCGAGAGTGCCACTGATATGTTCATTGATTTGCCTAGGGTCAAGTGGCTCCATGGAGCTACCCTTGGGAATAACCATGGATTTCCCTAGCTTTGAGGTTATCCTCCTCATTTAGCTTTCCATTCTCAATGAGTGAAAAAAGGGTTTTAAGGTCCTCTGAATCCTGGGCACAGAGAAAGTATTTTATAAAGGATTTAAAATCCTAAAAGATTGAAGCCTTCTTCCCCAAATCCCTCACCTTCAATAGAAGTTTGCAGATTTAAAGGGAAATATGGGAAAAGGGGACTTTTAAGATTTTTAAGCCCTAGGTATGGAGAAAATATCCAAGAAAAACCTTTAAGGTCCTAAAAGATGAAGCATAGGTGAATGGAAATTTTCTACAGAGATTCAAGACAAAGAACAATCGCAATGGCGGAACAAAATGGGGAAAGATTTTTTACAAACAAAAATGGGAAGCCAAAGAAGCTATATCGTGGAAAACAAGAAACCTCTTTCAGATGGAGAGCTTAGTCGCGCCCTCAAAATCTTTGGCATAGTAAGAATTTGGGGCATGGAGGGCAAAATGATGAGTCCAGATTTAACTAGGTCAGGCCCAATAAATTGAATGGACTTAGAGCAGCTGAAAGGATCCCTCAAGTCTAGCCCGTAGGTTTAACCCAACTTATTGATCCAACCCGGTCCAAGACCCAAGGAGCCCAGGAAGATAAGAGTACATGGGAGAGAGATCATCAAGATACACACCCTCGAAGATCAAAGTTATCTTAATTGTACTTATCTTTTATAGTTATCCTCCCCAAAAAGCTAGTATCTTTACCCTTACGTCACCGCCTCACCATGCCTATAAATTGTAAGCTCTCTCCATTGAGAGGGGGCATCTCACTATACCACTCTACATCTCTCTACACATTTTCTCTCTCCTAGCTATTGTATCTCTCCCCGAAGCTAACCATTGCTCTCTCTCTCGTTTACTTTACTTCATTAATAAAGACCCTCAGCCACTGTTGCCATTTTTCAGAGTAAAGTAGGTCACTTAGACCGAACTACTATATATCTGTGTGTTGACTCAATATTTACGTTACTGTCATTGATTACTTTATTAATTGTCCATTAACTACACTTTATCACACACTCGACTATTGATCATGCACGAGACTATTTTGTATATCATAAAAAATAATTTTTTTTGTACCTGGTAAGATGGAAAAAATATTTTTTTATTTTTTATTTTTAATTAATATATACATAATATGAAATTAATATATACATAATATATGTATATATTAAAGCATATATAGATTAATAAGATACATTTTAACACAAATAATTAATTTTTTATCCATTTTCTTTTCGATGTTAGAGGGATTGATTTTGGTAAGTTGAAAGGAAAACGCATCAATCCACTTTGTCATCTTTTTTATTTTCTTTCTTTACCAAACATGATATTTTATCTATTCCTTCAACTTTTCATCCTTCTATTTTTTTCATCGAGCATAGGACAATTCCACTTCAGAGAACACTTTGAGAGCACCACCACCATGTACACTAGACTTGGAAATAGTATATAGAAGCTTAGGCAAGCTCCCTGTAATGGAGAATATCAATCACAGTTCCATTAAGAAGTTGCCCCTGGATCACTATCACACATAAGCAATCATGCATCATTTATGGTACCAATGCTAAACTGCAAAAAAGAGTCATAGATTAGATAAGGAACATCCTAACAAAAAAAGGACAATAAAATTATAGAAAAGTATAATGCATTGGAGGCTACAAATTTAAATGCAGCCTCTGAAATTCTAAATAAATATTTCAAAGTAAAGCAAGGTGAAATTTAACTGCATAGAATAGAGAATTACCAATAGCATTGCTACAATCCAACCAACAATATCTTGAATCTATAATTCAGTTACGCCCCACCCCAACTACTAGAAAAAAGAAAAGAAAAAAATTGTGATTTCAAAACATAACAAACCAAAATTAAATGTCCTTTCTCCTGAATATACATGAACAAATAACTAATCCCTTAGAAAAAGGATGTTAAACTCACAGAATTTCCTGCAACAACCATGCATGTCAAACACACTTATTCTTTTTCCTTTTTTGGAAGCTAAATAGTCGGAAGCAAGTTAACACAAATTCAAATGTTAAAAGTTCACAAAATTGAACTAGACTTTACAACTCAAAGAAGCAGGCCAATGAAATTATTTTGAATTCTTGATTCTCATGATACCAACATTCCTAAGTGTCACGGAGGTCAAATTTTACTCAAAATTTTGTCTCGTGATGGCACTGAAATCCAACATTCAGTATTAGTCAATGCACATAATTGCTCACAAGAATGCACACAATGAATAGAATATGGGCAAGCACACACGAATTACAGTCCAAATGTCCAAACCTTTTTACTTCTTAGCAAGCCTAAAAGAAACCTGACTATGGGACAACTTACAAAACGTGTCCAACTCTCTTATTGCACAGTAGATGCTAGCATGCCTATATATAACATACAAAATGGCGATTACAAGCCCAACCGTCTAGACAATGCAAAGCAACATCAAATTCACCCACAAAACTATCCATAACCTGTTGATGATGGTTGAGTCCCTCTACCACTCCCATATAAGCTGGTTATAGCAAGGGGAAATTGCAATTGCTTGCTGACCCAGCCAACAACTACCCACAACTGTTGTGCATGATAGGTGCACATGCTAGCAATTCTCTCATGTTGTGCACATGCCAGCATTCTGCACAAAACCACCTTGCATGCCCTGCACATGCCAGCAATCGCCTAAAACTACTACCATTTGTAGTGCACATGCCCCAACTATTCAAAACCGCCTCAAATGTTGTGCACATGCCTTCCTTGTGAGCCCACATCACCTGATTTGCCCTGCCTTCATGCGTAGTCATACCCAATTCATGGCTTGGTCTTCTAAGCTAGTCTTGCCCCACAATTTAAGCCCACCAATTAGTCTTTGCTTGCTTGTGTCCAACATGCCCATGCATGAGCTACCTCCCTTAGCCATGTATGGGGCTTCAATCAACCCCTTGGTTGTGCCCAACATGCCCATGCATGAGTTATCTCCCTCAACCATGCATAGGACTTCAATCAACCCTCTGGTTATGCTCAACGTCCCATGCATGCGCTGCCTCCCTCAGCCATGCATGGGACTTCCGCAAACAACGAGTCCCACAGAACATCGGCCCTACATCTCGAGTCTTGAACTTTGGAATGCCTTGCCTCCACCCATGGCAAGAATTTGTTAGGGTTGTTCCTTGCTTTCGTGTTCCAAGGCTTAGAGGCATAGAAGTCCCTAAGGAAGTTGGCCTAGCACCCCTTCGCAAAGCACCCCCTATAATAGCGTTAGTGAGCAAAAATCTATTTGTAGCAACGGACATACCCTAAGCTGAGGAGTCATAATAACTTGAACCTGGGGCATAATCGGTGCATGCCACTTGAGCTTGTGCCAAACCACTTTGTAACTCAACAAAATAAGTCCAAGTCCTTAGAAAACCATCTTTTGCTCTAAGGGTTTACATCACCAAACAAACCTCAATTTGGCTAAGGCATGGGTGCCTTTGGGTGAGGCAGCCTCATGCCAATGCTGAGCCAAAAGTTAAAGGGGTAACAAACCACCCTTACTAGAGGAACTCGACGTCCTTGTCGAGAGGTTGTCCCGATTCTCCTTGATCTGATCGGGATCAACATTCTTTTTCCTTCGACGGGCAGCCTTGGCCAAATTGTCCTTTGCTTTGTCAAGCAACCTTTACTTAGAACAAGAAACCCCAAATGTAGCAGAACATCCGATCCTCTATCTCACCACTCCAGAGGCAAGTGACTGCTATTGTCCCACGACCAACATCCAATATGGGACACGGGTTGGAAGCTTCCTACCATGCTCCAACCCATTTTTATGGTCAAATCCACATCTGGGTAGAATGGTCTTGGGGAGTTTTGGAGGCATAGTCCCGATACAATCCTCTAAAATTTTTGTCATCAAACCAGGCATTTCAACCTTAATATCAGGTTTGTTTCCCACCAAGGTCGAGAGATATGTCATCTTGCCTTTTTGTAACCCAGAATCCACTACATATCTGATAATATCTACACTTTTTGCTTACCATCTCTTTTGCTTTGGTCGGCCACCTCTATAGGTACAGAGCATGTTACTCCCTTATCTGAGATCAGCATGTTATTTAAATGTGGCACCAGTACCACCTTGGTCTTTACAAAGAACTCGTTCCAGAAGATGACATTAAAGTTATCCAAGGGTAGAGTCGTCATGCTTACCCTACCTTCCCATAAACCCTCTTTTAGGCTTGCCTTTGAATTTCCATGCATTGGAATTGCTTCCAAATTGGTAGCCTTGAGCTTGCTAGAGTTCTCTTCCAACTGCAGGCCAAATGTTCCCACCTCACTCTGTGCAATGAAGTTATGGATGGCGTCTGTGTCCACCATGGCCAGAACTTCTTTCTCGTTCACCCAAGCCTGCACAAATATAAGGCCTTTACGGGGTTGTTGAATCTTTCCCATAGAGATTGCGTTTAGTAATTGCAGAGGATTAATCCACGTAGGATATTCATCATCGTTGTTATCTCTGCTTTCAGCAACAAGGGCAGTCAACTTCTCCCTCTTACAGCAGTCTTTGGCACGATGAGAGCTGCTACAAATAAAGCAACAATAATCAAAGTTCTTCTTATTCTAGTTATTTTCTCACATTTTAGAATCACCTCCGTTCATCTTTTTCTTTAAATCCACCTCCCCTGCATCTTTGGAAATATCAATCTGGTCTTTCTTGCCACCACTTTCTTTGTTTTTCTTTTTGAAAGGGTCTTGATTGTTGACCATTTTAAAGTTAACTAGGTCATCCGCAGCAGCGATAGCAATGTGGAAATCGCGCTCCCCTTGCCTACGCGACTCAGCCTATGCCTAG